GGAGACATGAAGGGCTTCCTTGGCTACACCGATGAGGCACTTGTGTCCACCGACTTTGAGACTTGCCCCATTTCTTGCACCTTTGATGCCAAGGCCGGCATCATGTTGGACCCTACCTTCGTGAAGGTGGTGTGCTGGTATGACAACGAGTGGGGCTACTCGTCGCGTGTGGTCGACCTCATCAAGCACATGGCCAAGGAGGATGCCAAGGCATGAGCACAGGGAAGCACTGACACAAGCGCAGCTGTAGATTTTCTTGCAATGTAGAGTGCAAGTCTCACTCCCCTTGCCATTGGGCAAATTTTCCTCCTTTGCTCTTGATTTAAGAGATGTTTGTTCCGGCCACTTCGTTGAATGTTCGCAAACATGGGGCTGCATCAGACAAGAGTCTTGTCTCTGTCGTGGTTGTTGTTTGTTTGTGTGATGGTTGGTTGAGGATGGTTGAGGTTGTGTTTATGTTATCGATAATGTTTTGAGCAGCAGGTGCCACTCACTGTGTTGCTATCTCTTATGTCTTCGGTGTTATTGCTGGGAAGTGCTGGGTTGAAGAGTTCAATCCTTCTAGGATTCTGGGTTGAACAAAGAGAACCTCCAGCGCTTTGTTGAAGCTTTCAATGAAGTTACTTGTCATTGTTGGATTTTGTGAAGAACTGCTCAGCATTTTGCTCGGTTCAGTGTCCTTGATTTGATCTACTTCGTCCAACAATGCCTTCCGTGGCGGAGAACATGGCCCTCATCGTTGGTGGTGCTGTGGCCGGCACAGCCTTGACCAGCGCCTTTGTGGCCCCAGGACCTGTGGCTGAACCCAAGAGTAACCTGCGTGCAGCAGGCTATGCCAAGACTTCCCAGTCTTCTCAATCCATGGGAGCCATGGCTGGAGTGGGAGCTGTGGCTGGCCTTGTGGCAGCCGGTGCAGTCGGCAAGCGTGCAGGAAGGAACCGTACCTCCATGCAGGCTGTGGGTGTGGGAATCAACGGCTTCGGCCGCATTGGTCGCCAGGTGGCCCGCATTGCCATGAAGGATCCTGAGGTTGAGCTGAAGCTCATCAACGCCAGCTACGACTCGGATTATTTGGCTTACATGATCCTTGGCCAGTCCAGAAAGAATTAGCTTTATATATAGGCCTTATTTATATATATATATATACATATCAATTTTTGCATCCTGTGATCAGGGTTTGTAAATCATAAGAAGAAGAAGGTGATTTCTTGAGTCGCTGGCCAAGTGAGGATGAAATATGCTCCTTGGCTTCTTATGAGAAGCTATTATTTTCGAACGCAGGTGAACCGATTTGGTCTTGCAAGAGATTAGATGACACCATACGAGCAGAACAAGGGCTTTAACAATCATACTTGTTTGAGTAGTACTTTGATGTAATTTTTGACGTGTGTGTGTGTGATACCTGCACTATTTGGCTCCTTTGGTACTTGCAGCCGAACATGTGGTGTGACTGAACATGTTTGTCATACTCAGGACACTATTCATGGCAAGTACGATGGAACTGTGGAGGCTGATGGTGATTCCCTGGTGGTTGATGGCCAGAAGATTGCTCTGTCCCACACCCGCGACCCAGCAGAGATTCCTTTCGGTGAGCACGGGGCGGAGTACGTGTCGCTGGCTTGCAGAAGTCGGTAGAACTCTTTGGCAGGATAAGTTCAGACTGGAGACTGAAGTCAAAGACCATGAATGATGAATAATGTCTTTATTTATTTCTATACTATAGGTTACCCCCATGGCTACTTCCCATTCATAGTTGATTTGCTCGTGGGTTGTCCCATTCGTGCATGCTTTTTGCACCCTTTGCTTCGGGTCAACGTGTGTCCTTGACTCGTCTTTCTTGCGAGGTGCGAATCCACTGGAGTTTTCCTCACAACAGACAAGGTGCAGGGTCACTTGAAGGCTGGATCAGCTGAGAAGGGGATGGTCACCTGGAGGTTTCTGGGAACCACCCCTTCGATAGAGGTCCTGTGAATACAGTATCAGATGGGTGTGGCAAAATGTTGCTGATTGAATCTACCATTCTGTGTGCTAGAGAGAACTGAGATAACACTATGGTAGTTACTAAGGTGGGCAATCCTGTGTTTTGGATTTAGGATACGGCTATTGCAACCCTCAGTTTTGTTTGCAAGCATGATGCACTGGCAATCCTTGGAGGCTGGCGCCAAGAAGGTGATCTTCTCTGCTCCTGCGAAGGATGACTCCCACACCATTGTCATGGGTGTGAATGAGGGCACTTACGACCCATCCATGGAGGCCGTGTCCTGCGCCTCCTGCACCACCAACGGCCTTGCCCCGGCAGTGCGCGTCCTGCAGGAGAAGTGGGGCATCAAGCGTGGATTGATGACCACTTGCCATGCCATGACCGCCTCCCAGCCTACCGTGGACGGCACTTCTAAGAAGGACTGGCGTGGTGGCCGTGCTGGCCCAGGCAACGAAGAGAGGGGAGACTGACTGACAGCATTGTGTGTGTTTCCTTTTTTTCTGGACAAACATATATGCATTCTAGACATGTCAATTGTGACAGACATGGTGTTGAATTGTGCACATTCCGGCCATGTCCTTCCAAGCTTCAAGTGTATTGTCATCGGCGAGGCAACATCATTCCCAGCAGCACTGGCGCTGCCAAGGCGGTTGCCAAGGTTATCCCCGAAGTCAAGGGAAAGCTCACTGGCATGGCCCTCCGTGTCCCGACCATTGATGTCTCCGTGGTGGATCTCACCGTCGAGTTGGAGAAGGAGACCACCTACGAGGAGATTTGCGCTGAGATGAAGAAGCGCGCTGACGGAGACATGAAGGGCTTCCTTGGCTACACCGATGAGGCACTTGTGTCCACCGACTTTGAGACTTGCCCCATTTCTTGCACCTTTGATGCCAAGGCCGGCATCATGTTGGACCCTACCTTCGTGAAGGTGGTGTGCTGGTATGACAACGAGTGGGGCTACTC